GGGTGCCAACCTCTTTCTACACCCCCACAACACTTATTAACGAAAGGAGATTCCATCTGAACAAGAGGAAGAACTTCCTGACTGTGAGAGCTGTTCAGCAGTGGAACTCTCTGCCCTGGAGTGTGGTGGAAGTTCCTTCTTTGAAAGCTGCTACAGAGGCTGGATGGCCATCTGTCAGGGGTGCTTTGAATGCAATATTCCTGCTTCTTGGCAGGGGGTTGGACTGGATGGCCCATGAGGTCTCTTCCAACTCAATGATTCTATGATTCTATTACTTATAGAGGAAGAAAAGAGACCTCATTGGAATAGAAGAGCCATCCTAGGTCAACTTGCCTATCCAGTCCAATGTTCTTTTCACACAATGCCAACTAGATGCTTATGGGAAGTATACTAAGAGAACAGAGAGCCAGTATGGAGGAATAATATAAATGTTGGATTAGGACACTGAAAGACCAGGGTTGAATCCCCGCTTGACTATGGAAACCCACTGAATGATCTTGGACAAGTCACCCTCAGCCTCAGAAGCAGGGAAGGGCAAACTCCCACTGGACAAATCCTGGCAAGAAAACCCCATGTCAGATTCGCTTTAGGGTTGGCATAAGCCAGAAATTACTTGAAAGTACACAACAACAATTCATAGAATCATAGAATCAAAGAGTTGGAAAAGACCTCATGGGCCATCCAGTCCAACCCCCTGCCAAGAAGCAGGAATATTGCATTCAAATCACCCCTGACAAATGGCCATCCAGCCTCTGTTTAAAAGCTTCCAAAGAAGGAGCCTCCACCACACTCCGGGGCAGAGAGTTCCACTGCTGAACGGTTCTCACAGTCAGGAAGTTCTTCCTTATGTTCAGATGGAATCTCCTTTCTTGTAGTTTGAAGCCATTGTTCCGCATCCTAGTCTGCAAGGAAGCAGAAAACAAGCTTGCTCCCTCCTCCCTGTGGCTTCCTCTCACATATTTATACATGGATATCATATCTCCGCTCAAATGCAGAATACCTCTTCTTCAGGCTAAACATGCCCAGCTCCTTAAGCTGCTCCTCATAGGGCTTGTTCTCTCAGCCTCAGAGAGCACAAGTAAAATTGCATTCTGTATTTCAGCTTCCCCAGCAAATTGAGAGGTATTCTGCATCTGATGTAGAGAGTGATATATAGCCACCTTGAGTAGAAGACAATGATGGCTCTTTCCTCCGTGGATGTATCTGAGCTCTTTTTAAAGGCATCCAAGTTGGCAGCCACCATCCATCCTCACATCCAGCAAATTCCATTCTGAACAGGAAGAACAGAAATGGCTTGTTGTAACACTGTCACTTTTCTCCTGGTTCATTTCTGGCCCTGATCCAAAGTGGTGCTTATCACACCATATATGACTTGATTGCAGGCTATCTGAAATATTGGTATCTCTTTATATAGCTTGCACAAGGTTTAAAATTATGGGCAAGCTTGGTGAGGATTTAAGAAAAGACCTTCTCAGTGGCTGCTCCTAAGATTATAGATACAGGATATAAATAACAGCAGAGATGTGTTCATTATTTTTACTTTTCCTGATCTTGCAGATTCTCATCACAAGTGACAGTCTTTTTCTAGCACTGAGGGGATCATATTAACTACCTCCAGAGTAGTGCCAAATAGAGTAGAGTCATTGAATCAGGTACAGATTTATCATATTCCATCTGATTTCATGGTGCAACTCTGAATTATTCAATAGTGGAATGGATTGCTGCCTTGGAGGATCTTGGGCTGCCCTTGTTGGAGCTTTTAAAATGAAGGTTAGATAGCATCAGTAGGGATGTAATCCTTGAACTGTGGTGCCCAGAACTAGACACAGTATTCCAGGTGAGGTAATGACAATAGTGTTATTGCTAATACATTTTGAAAAGCTTTTGGTATTCCAGACCTTGAAAGACCTGGTATTACTATACCACAGTTGACATGACACTGGTGATATGGAACATTAGTCATCTGGTTTTTACATATGTTGTTCATGTTGTTCTAAATGGTTGTTTAAGTGCTTTTAATTGTTGTTTGGGCATGGAATAATGCCAATTATTAAACAGCCCTGAATCCCCTTTGGGGTGCTAAGAGCGGGATATAAATTTCGTAAATAAATAAATATTAGTGTTCTCAGTTCAGTGATTTTTCTAAGGGTTGGTCATTTTGCCTTATTGAGCTTTATCTGCAAGTGTAACTTTGAGGTGACTTAGAAGATACCTCTTTGTGGTCTCAATGAAAGGTCTCAAGATTATAGGTAAAGGTAAAGGTTTTCCCCTGACATTAAGTCAAGTCGTGTCTGACTCTGGGGGTTGGTGCTCATTCCCATTTCTAAGCCAAAGAGACAGTGTTGTCTGTAGACACCTCCAAGGTCATGTGGCCAGCATGACTGCATGGAGCGCTGTTACCTTACCACCAGAGTGGTACCTATTGATCTACTCACATTTGCATGTTTTCGAACTGCTAGGTTGGCAGAAGCTGGGGCTGGCGGCGGAAACTCACACACTCCCTAGATTCGAACCTGCGATCTTTCGGTCAACAAGTTTAGCAGCTCAGTGGTTTAACCCACTGCACCATCGGAGGCTCAAGATTATGTGGGTCTGCAAAACGGAGGGTCATAAAATCTTTTTTTAAAAAGGTATGCTGTAATTTTATAGGATTTTGGTATTCTAAATCCATAAATGACCTCAGATTTGTTCCATCACATGCATTTTTTTCACAATTTGCTATGACGGTTTTATTTTTTAATATGTAATATCTTTGTGGCATAAATAGTAAGCAGTAAGAAAAGTCCTCTAATAGATTTTCAAAACACTTTTAATTCCCTGATATGAAGCACAAAAATCTGTTCAAAAGCACTAAAGGAAATTGCATTGGAACATACGCGTCTGCACTTAATCAAAACTGAATAGCACCAACTGACTGGATAAAAATTTCAAATTTGTGAAAGAACTGTGTGTAGTATGACATTTCAGCATTAAAAAACACTACAGTATTAAAAATGCAAGCCTGTGTTATATCAATCCTTTATATTGGAGGTAGGAAGCTATAGTGATATTGTGACTTTGCTATACAATTTGCTATACAACGTCTCACTTGGACTTTGTGGTGCAGGTCTTATCTGTACTGCTTTGAGCTGGGGAATTGGAGAGAGTTAAAGAACATGAAATAAAAATAGAACAAGTGTCCAAAGCCAGGAAGGAAGTAGGCAGGAATGCTAGTTTGTATGTGACAGCAGCCATTGCGTACAGAAGCCAGTTAAAAGTGAACAAGTTTGAAGATGCTAAAATTATCAATGTCACCATAGCTAGGTAGCCATCGAAAACATGTTGGCATCATTCACAGCAATTGCTGCAAACTACAAGATTATATTATTTATATGCTTTCCATGAGGAATCCCAGTTCCCTTCCCATCACAGGTCTGGTGAATCAACATAATGGTGGCGCATTAACAGGTTGAAGTAATTACATCATAGTTTTGAAATATTGAACAGTATCTTTGTTTTGAACCTGCCAGAATATTCAGACCACATAGTGCAGAGGATATAGGAGAGAGCCTCCTTCATAGTTGAAACCAGACTGAAATTTGTTCCCAAACAAGGTTTGGCTGGCCAACTGCCTGCTCTCCTTTTACTAACAGGCAAAAACCTTCCCACTGAGACACGCTTGCCAGGAACCATTTTTCTGTGTAGAGGAATCTGAATTGAATTAAATGATTTCATACTTTGAAAGATGAAATGTCAACTTAATATAGAATCATAGTTGGAAAATATCCCAAGAGTCATCCAGTCCTGTCCCTGCCATGCAGGAATACAAAGCAGTTCTGACAAATGGCTATCCAGCCTGTTTAAAAACCTCCAGAAAGGGAGACTCTATCACACTCAAAGGCAGCATATTCTACTAACAAACATCTCTTAATGTCAGAATATTCTTCATAAAGTTAGGTAGAATCTCCTTTCCTGAAGTTTGAATCTACTATTTCACATCCTAATCTTTGGAGCAACACAAAACAAGCTTGCTCCGTTTTCCATATGACATCCTTTCAGATATTAAACATGCTTATCTTGTCCCCTCTTAGCCTTCTTTTCTCCTAGCTGAATTTACCCAGTTCCCAAAGATGCTCCTTGGGTTCTTGCTTGGTAATGTGTTTGTTTTTTACAATTTGTTATCAGGTTTTTAGCTTTCATTTGTTTTTGCAATTTTGTAAGCTAATTTATGTAAGAAGAGTGGGAACGTATTGGGTTATCTTGGGAAAATCACACTTTCTCAGCCTCAGAAGAAGGCACTGGCGAATTGCAAGAAAATTGCATCACAGATTCACCTTAGGGTTGCCTTAAGTCAGCATACTGCAACACTGTACACTAGCAAAAGCCCTAGTAGATCAGTTCTCACAAGCTGGTCAGAACAGAAATCCACTTGCTAATGGAAGATTAAAAGGCAGTTCTGGAGCATGGAAGCAACCACTAGTTTCCCCCAGGTGTGTTTGGGAGGCTGATGGCACCAAGCGGAGACCCTTTTCCTTAAGATTTCAAAGTTCAGTCAGGCTATTCCTTCAGAAAGTTCTGACCCAGACCCTATGGTGCTGTAACAATTGCTGGCATCCCTAATTGCCACCTCCACCTTTCAGGATGTTATATCAGTAATCCAACAGATCCTCCTACAATTGTTGTGGATTGTGGCGGTGCAAAAAAAAAAATGGTATATTAGTACTCAACTATTTCAGAACTTGAGTAAGTTGACTTTCTGGATTTTTCTTGTAATGCTTAAAAATAATATTTACAAATTATGATTATCACTTTAACTTGACATAAAGGACAAAATGTTCAACAGCTTGGTCCGCTCATGACAGCATGGCCCCAAAGAGGCTGAAATAACTTCAAGAGCCTCCCTGAAAGGAAGGCAGAGGAGGTTTCCTCACCCAAATCCCCACAGCCCTGCATTCCACACTGTTGTGTAGTGGAAGATAATAGTATAGTGTAGTGTTTTAGAGCCAATACAGAGACTGGAGTCAGTAGATTATTCTTGTTTAATAAGAAACATTTTAAAGTTCTTTTACGTTTTCAGTAATCCTCTTACAAAGCTTAATGTACACCACAGGATTCAGATCTTGTGCACCATAAAGCAAACTCAGTCCGCTACTGTCCGATTTGTAAGGTTTGCTCAGCTTGGCACATTTTGCACAACCATTTTAAACACAGACTTTCATTCACTTAGAATCACCCTGTTATCAAGGTTAATCTTATGAAAGATTATTTTCAAAACACCAAATCTCACTTATTGTGCTTCCATTGTTACCCACTCGATACCATCATCCAGTTTCTATCTACCAGGGCACTTCCACATTACACAATTATAGCACTATGATTCCACTTTAGCCACCATGGTTTTAGCCAATGGAATCTTTGGATTTCCAAGACAATAGAGGGATATTTAGAATCCTCTGCCAAAGAGATCTAATGTCACACCAAACTCCCCGGTTTGAATCCGGGGAGAGGCGGATGAGCTCCCTCTATCAGCTCCAGCTCCTCATGCGGGGACATGAGAGAAGCCTCCCACAAGGATGATAAAAACATCAAATCATCCGGGCATCCCCTGGGCAACGTCCTTGCAAGACGGCCAATTCTCTCACAACACGAGCAACTCCTGATACGACCAAAAAAAACCAAAAAAAAAAACCCCCACCAAACTACAAAGCCCATAATTCTACAAAATGTAGTCATGACAATTAAAAGTACAATCATAATGCCAGGACTATGTAGTGTAAAAATGCCCTCTGCAATCTTGTGTCAGCCTCCATCTTCCTCCAAACTTAACACACCTTGCGTTTCCAGTAACAAGACGAAAGCTATGAGAAAGCAGGGGTTAGCATGTGACTAGATGACAAATGCAGACACGTTGATACAAGCTTCAGTGTTGCTCCAAAAAACAAAACTAGGGGAGGAAAACCAAGTGAAAGTGGTATTCCATGTATCCTATGTAATTGGTAAGCACAAAGTATATTTATTTTTTTCTTTTTAACATAACCTCAATGCTCAGGAAAACTACTTACCTGCCAATTCAAAGTTTGGGTGCCCAAGTGAAACTTGTACACAGCCTAACCCTGTTAAACAAACAAACAAACAAAAAAAACCATTTTGCTCCTACATGCTAATTGTAAGAGTTGCAGTTCAAACTAGAGTTATAATATTGCCTGGAACACATACAATTCTGTACTTCTCTTCCTATGCAAACACACACACTTTCATCGTAAGGTTTGCCTTCTGCCCTCCCTTAGGAGGCTGAAGGCTACAATTACAGTTGTGGCAGAGTGTGGCTGGAGGAAGGCACACTAACTCCATGGTGACAAAAACATTATACAGTGTGGCCTAGTTTGAATCTGGGGAGCGGGGTGAGCTCCCATCTGTCAGCTCCAACTTCTTATMTGGGGACATGAGAGAAGCTTTCCACAGGATGGTAAAACATCTGGGCGTCCCCTGGGCAATGTCTTTGCAGATGGCCAATTCTCTCACACCAGAAGCGACTTGCAGTTTCTCAAGTTGCTCCTGACATGGGAAAAAAAATCTMCTGGGATTCGGTATCCCATGGATACCAAAATTTGTGGATGCTCYTCTCCTGTTATAAGCAGTGGCATAGTAAAATGGCACCCCTTATGTAAAATGGCAAAAATTGTATTTTGCTTTGGGGAGGGGGGGGGGCATTGCAAAGACATGGATGGTTGAATTTTTGGTACAGAGGSCTGACTGTAACTTTAAATGCAAAATCCTGGAATAAATTACATAAACATGGGAATGTTTCACTGAAACACACTAAGCGTCAAGAGAATGGTGTGATCTGGGATGAGTTGAAAATGTGAGAGACAGCCTGTGTTCCAGTTGAAAGACCACTTGCATTGCTCTAAGATCAGCAGCTCCTTCCCTGCTTTTTGGTCCATCAGTGAGTGTAGCACAACCAGCAAGTGTTTGGAAACAAAGCCACTTCTGTGGTGGCTCCACATCTTTGGAACACTATACCCTAAACTGTGCATTTGGGTTCCTCTTTACTGGAAGACTGTTTTGAAGACTTATTATACCAGTCTGCCTTCAAAACAACTGCTGCTATTTGGTTATTTTGGTTTGGGCTCTCAACCAAAAACTGTCTAAATGTTCTGGACTAAAAGCCCTGACCACTGGCTATGGTTCATGGGAGTGGCAGTCCAAATTAACCAAAGACTGCCAAACTGGGGAAATGATAATAACTTATGAATTAAGTACTGTGTTCATGGTCTGAATTTTTTTCCAATTTATCACATAATCCATCATAAGGGGAAAGGGGGGATTTTATCTTGAAAACAGCCTTGACAACTATTGTTATAATGTCTTCATCAGTAACACTGAATGTTAAAATGGTCCTCTTTTTGAATTCCCACTCACACTTAGACCATCAAGGCCAAAATCATCCATGCATATGGATCCTCAATGACGCAATGGGTTAAACCCTTGTGTCGGCAGGACTGCTGACTGACAGGTTGGTGGTTCGAATCCGGGGAGCGGGGTGAGCTCCCGTCTGTCAGCTCCAGCTTCTCGTGCACGGACATGAGAGAAGCCTCCCACAGGATGGTAAAACATCAAAACATTTGGGCGTCCCCTGGGCAACGTTCTTGCAGATGGCCAATTCTCTCACACCAGAAGTGACCTGCAGTTTCTCAAGTTGCTCCTGACATGAAAAAAAAATCCATGCAAATTATAGTACAACCAAGGTATAAATGTAAGAATTTGCATTTGAAAATAAAAGAATCTCATTCCTGAAAAAGACAAGTGGGAACAAGTGTTTTGAAAACAGACAGATGCATTGAAAGGCTGTTCATTGATGAGGCACAGAAGTGTGTCACAAAAAAGGGGGTTGTTTTTTAATACCATAGAATATCCCTCTAATGTTTTATATGGATTGAGAAATCCACCCATGGCCCTGTGAGTTAGCTCAACATCTACTAGAAGTGCTCTACAGTTTGTAATTGCTCCTTAACAAAACTCTAGAGCTACACTTTAAACCTCGGACCACAAAAAATAAAGTGAATTGCAATAAGACTTAACAAACACGATTAGTATAATCGAACTGCTTTGTTATAAATTATGTACATTCAGACCACATTAAAATATTATTCCATGTTACACCAAAGAGATTAAGGCTTCATGATATTTACATGGATGAGCAAGCACCTTTAAAAGTACATACCATTAACCTAATCTTTCTAATATAAATTTCATGATGTGTCCAATTTTCTAGATCTACTTTAAACAATGATTATTGGAAGAGAGATCATACTGGAACAAATCCAATTACTGAATACTAAGTGACCTAATACAAGTGCTTTATACGTTTGACACTCGCACAGAACAGGATCTGCTTTTCCTCAGATTGCTACCATTAGTTACAGGCTTACATAGCAATGGGTCTGCTCAAATATCAAGGAAGTAGAAGACTTGTTTATTTTAAGAGACAGACAACAGCAAAGATCCTTCAATTTACTAGCTGAATGAGATTCCCCAGTGCTCTGCTGCACATACAACACAGACTAAGACTTGACATGATAGCAAGATGAAGCAACTGGAAAGTGTACGAAACACTAAATGCATTGAAGAGATGACAATTTCATGATCTTCCTTTCTTCGGACTGATTCTATGCGGTAAGTTTCAATCTGCTCCTTTACCTATAGTGCTCCTTTGCTATCTTGGCTGCTATTCCACATCATCTCGTACTACTTTCAAAGTGGTAAAATCATGTTGATACAACACATTTTTTTATGGTGCCGACGACCTATCTGACTAGAAATGATAGTGTATTATCTGACTAATGGCTTTTGGGACTCGAGGATGAAAACGTTCAACATCGGCAGGTGTGGCTAACAGAAGGTGCTCAGTACAAATGGAAACAAGCCATTTGCATTTTCAAGTATTATTTTGAAGAGTGAGTCCTTTAACTTGCAGTCTGTTAGCACTTCTTAAAAGCGTTGTGCTTTTAGTCCATTATTTCTTTGCAAGTCTTTAATTTGGCTGATGGCTTTTTTTTTCTTTTAAAAATATTGGCAACAAGTATAAGGACAGCAGAAGCCTGGCAAGGGTTATTTTATTTTTTGAGCCCATTTCATATCGTCTGCTCTAGGTTTTTCCCCCGTCAGTCTTTGAATGATATTTTCCAGGAACCTCCAAAATCCAATTTTCTCCAGTGGGTAGTTCAGCCAGCCTGAAACAGAAGAGAAGGAGGAATTGAGTGAATTAAGAAATGCAGTTCACTTGTTTTCAATGCTAGATGGGAGATACAGTCCATCCCATGTAAGTTACATGAAAGTTACTGAAGTCAGACCTATTAGTTGGAATATAAAATGGACTTCTATGGAATATGCATAACAACAACAACAACAACAACTCCTACTTGATTGTACCCTGCCTCTATCTCCCCGAGTGGACTCTGGGTGGCTTACAGATGGCACAGGAAGTGACTAACCAAAACATAAAATGAATCACAAAATACAAGTACAATAAAATAAAAATATATGGCATATAAAACAACAATTAAAAACAGTGCACAATAACCTATGACAACAAGCTATCAAAGAACATGGCCAGACTGTAAAGAAAAAGACAAGGGAGTGGGATAGTGAAAAATTGTAGCCATGGAACAAGGACGGGAAGAAGGGAACAAGGATGGGAATACTGCGTCATTATTGCATAAACCACTAGAGACTAGATGTTCTCAAAACCTTGTGTAAACATCCAAGTCTTCAGATCCCAACAGAAGGAGGACAGTGTGGGGGCCTGCCTAATCTTCCTTGGGTGTTCCAGAGCCAGGGGGCCACCACCGAGAAGGCCCTCCCCAACAGATCTTAACGCTCATGCCGATTCAGGGGGGAATGCAATCATGAAGATGGGCAGGGCCCAAACTGTTTAGGGCTTTATAGGGATGCCCTGCACCTTGAATTGAGACTGGACACTTATCGGCACCCAATGATAGGGGCATGTGTGCTCCCTATAGCCAGCTCCAGTTAGTAGCCTGGCTGCCCATCTTTATACCAATTGCAGTTTTCGAGCCAGCATAGAAGTGCTTTGTTGCCGCAAGACTAATAATAGCCAAAACTTGGAAAGGGGAAAAGAGTTATATATTAAAGATTGGAGAGATAAATTAGTAGATTATATCCAAATGGCCAATCTGACAAATAGCAGCAGAGGAGGAAATAATGAAGCATTTGCAAACAAATGGAGGCTGGCACTTGGATATTTGGAAAAGAAGACAAAGGTAAACTTGAAGATTGCCCTAAAGGGGATTCAGTGAAAGAAGATATATGGGTAGCTGCGGATTAGTTGTGTGATCCTTTTGTGAGGGGGTTTGGAAGTCATGGGATGGGGTTCACAGGTGGGGGGGATAGAGGGTTGAGAAATGTTAAGGTATAATTAACTGTACAGCCAAGTTTGATTGTTTATATGATTAACGAGCATTGAATGTACATCCTTTTGTAAATCTTTTGCATATTTTTTTCTTTTTTCATTTTTTTCTTAGGTTTATTTGTTTTGTTTCCTATATACTCTACAAAACAATAAAATTATTAATAAAGAGAAAAAAAGAAGTGCAACCTAAACATGTCTTCATAACTGAAAATTTTCAGTTTTAAACTATACGTGGCCCATGGTCCCTACCAATCCAATTTTTAAATAGTGGCTCCAATCGATCTTTCACAGCCTTCTTTCAAACCAGCAGATGGACAGTTCAGTTTGCCCTAATGCAACTCTGTGGTTTCTTGGCAAAGATATTAAACTGCTTACATAAACTTCTTATAAGTATACAGCAAACATGCTTATGTAGTTTTCATGTGCTGTTGCAAACAGGACTGACGAGTCAGTTTTAAAGAGGTCACACAAGTGAGTTACTGGTGCCTACAAGAACTCGGAGGAGTGAATCCAGATTTTAAATGCATAGAGCTGAGCTAGAAAAACTAGATTTCCCTTTTCCTAACTCCCAAATAATGCTGCACAGAGGGCCAAGGGACCTTGTCACAGGGGGTGGCAATGGGGGATGGCAGAAATGAAGTTAGATTAGATCTTCCGTGATACAAAAGACACCCTGGATCCAATCCAATATATAATGTACTAGCTATGTTAATTAATTAATTAACTATATTTATACCCTACTTTTCTCACCCCAAAGGGGACTGAGAGCAGCTTATGTTAAAGAGACTCGCTGCAAAGCTAAGAAATATAGTCAAAGCTAAGAAAAATAAATGAGAGGTAGAAGTGAATTCCAAAATATGTGTGGTGTAGTTTTCTGAGGATGGACTAAGACTTTGGAGGACAGGGTTCAAATTCCCCTTCGGCCTTGGATCTTGGGCAAGTCACACTCTCAGTTTCAGAAAAAAAAGGTATTCTGAACAAATAGTGGCAAAAAACCTCCATGATAGGTTCATCTTAGGGTCATCATAACTTGGAAATGACTGGGAGGCACACAACAAAAACAGTATAATGAGCATCGCCTATCTAAATATCAAGTGTCGTAAGCCATCAACGAATACTGAACTGTGTGGCATGTCAGCTATTGAGTATCACTGCTTTGTTATCTACCTAATTCTACCATAAATCCGACATTAGTAACAAGATCGGCTCTCAGAGACAGGGAAAAATGACATTCAACACCTTTTAATTTCAGTTCAATTTTGCAAAGGAAGACTTGGCAGAAAGTTGGCTCTAGCAGTAAGCTAGATTTGCAAGTTAAATATTACTAGTAGATTTGATACGTTCACATTACAGGAAAAGTTGTTTCCTGAATATGCATATTATAATGTATTTTAGGACTGAGAGCCTGAACGTTGATGTTTTGTTTTCTTATCTGCTTTCTTCAGCTCCTCTTACTGTAAGGCTTTCAAGGTGACCTAGAACCAAAGTTCCCTCAAAACATATTCTGGAATTAGTCTTCAGAAGGAACGGAATAACTGAAAACACAAGTGTCCAATCCCTGCACCAATCTCCAACTGATAGTTTATCTAGAAGAGTGCTTTTTCCATTTATATGAAAGATTGCTAATGAAAAACAAAACCTGATTTTTGTACCCTCTCTTAGGGGCAAAATGAGGAAAGAACCTTACCAAATAAGAAACATTCTCTTTGGCCTAATTTCTAGTAGTGCAGAGAGTGAAACTTTGAAAAATCATTCATACCTAGAACTTTTATATTTGCTATGCTTGCACGGCTTGGGAAGTTTGTTTTCCCTTTTTGTTGGATATCTTGACCATATTTCTAAATGCTGCAATGCTAAGACACTTGGGGTCTAAAAGTTCATCTGAGAGGGCAGAATTCTTCTCTGAAGATGGCAATGACCTCATTTTGTCTCCTTTCCCCATAAGTCAGTTGTTCTCATCCTGTGGGTCCCCAGATGTTTTGGCCTCCAACTCCCAGAAATTGTAACAGCTGGTAAACTAGCTGGGATTTCTGTGAGTTTTAGGCCAAAATACCTGGGGACCCACCGGTTGAGAACTACTGCCATAAGTACATGACATTTCTTTTTTTTTCTTTTTTTTTAAGACCAAAAAGGGTAGTCTATGCCAAAACCAGGTTTGAAATCATAAGCCTGGAATTAGAATGGATGAAAATGAGAAGTAGCATCAACTTGCTCAAGCATCTTGCCAAAAAACCCACCTCAACCCCACCTATAACTAGAAATTAGCTGATAGCACTTAGTATGTTGTGTATTAAAGAGGGGCTCCACTAGGAATTGCCTCAAAACTACTCCCTTTCCTCAAAAGACATTCACTATTTTCTGGACCGAAGAAGTCAGTCCTTATCAGTTTAATATTCAAAGCTGAGAGTGCCTTCCATGTGTAAAAGTGGAGAGTTTTTCTTTGGTCTACCTGTAGTAATACAGAAGTAAGTTTCATGAGGAGACACATGGTGGATCCTGTGATGTTTCCGTGGCAAGATAATGTGCCAGTCCTGTAGGAAGATGACCCAGTGAGGAAGACCAAAGTAGGTGTGAGACCACTTGTGAATCTGGTTTGTCAAGGTTGCAAATACAGCCAGGGCAAAAACATAACACTCCCAAGGGCACGTTTGGTATAATGCTTCTGGAAAAGACAAAAAAAACAAGGAAGAAGTAGCATCTCTTTTACTCTCATTGAAGTAGACCAAGAAAAATATCACAGCTGTGTCTTACCATTTTGCCTCAGTACCAGAATGATTCCTATGAATTGATGAAATTTAAGCAGTGTATTCTGTGGTAAGGAGCCAGCATAGTGTTGTGGCTTGAGTGTCAGTCTATGACTTTGGAGACCATGGTTCGAATCCCTTCTTAACCATGAAACCTACCTCAAGCAAATCACACTTTCTCAGCTTTAGATGAAAGCAATGGCAAGACTCTTCTGAACATATCTTGCCAAGAAAACTCCATATAAGGTTTGCCTTTGGGCCACCATAGGCCAGAAATTATTTGAAAGCCCATGACACTAACTTCTTTGTGACACTGTAGCAACTAAATGATCAATCCTTGGATGTTCAGAAATGTGATCTGACGATTGCTCCAGCAGCTGTACCAGATACTCAAATGTCCCAAGTTTGGCAAAGTATTTTTTATTATACTGCGTGGAATCTCCAGCCAGCATGGCCAGAAGTTGTGGTCCACAAAAAGTATCTTGTTGCTGGACTGCCTCTTATTAGTTTCCATCACTTCTGACCAGTGACCATGCAGGTTAGGGATTATGGGAATTACAATTCTAAAAAGTAACTTTTCCAAGTTCTGCCATATGATGGACACCTCTCTGCCATGAGGATAAAGGGAAGCAAGTGAATACTAGCCCAGAGCTTGTTCCAGCCACAATTGTCTCTTTTACATGTTAGGGCCATTATGACCTACTACCCAATGGGAAGGACTCTTAAAGAGAAGGGGATCACCAGGTAGCCATAGCAATATCACTACCTCCTGCTCCAGGCAATTTGTCCTGCTCTCTGTAGAGCACTTACCTCCTTATTTCCTGTGGGAAGATTCTGATCATCAGTTTGATGTTAAATACATTTGAGTGTGGGTTCCTTAATGATTGTTGGTTATACTTATAAAGCTGCTTTGGAAGGATTTGTATCTCAGGATAAACACCCTTTGCAAATAGCATGTTAGCTCCTTGGGATAGCTGTTTAACTAATGCTGGTAGTATGTCCCACCAGAGTTAGAAACTCTTATTCGCTAAAGATTTCCGAACTCTAGTCCTCTATCTATTTTGGACCAACTCCTAGCCTTGGTTGCCTTGGTCAATGATTAGAAATTATGGGAGCTGTAGTCCAAAACACCTAAAAGGTCAGAGTTAGGGAAACACTGCATTAAAACAATTATAGTCTGATAACCATGGGCAGCTTCTTAGTATTTACAGATAGCCTTCTGCATCCACAGATTCTGCACAGATTCAACCATATGGGGTCCAAAATATTTTTTTGAAATATTCCAAAAAGCAAACTTTGATTTTGCCATTTTATATAAGGAATGATAGTAAGTGAACTTTATTATGGTCGATGACCAGATCATAACAGGGGGACCCAGACTTTCACATCCACGTCAAACCCAAAGGGTTATATGCTTCAAACTTCAACAAATTTTAAAATCTAGGCTAAAAACCACATACAAGTAGTTATTAAAATCCAACTCAACCCACGAGATTGAGTAGTCCAAAAATTAGCCCACCCATGAGATGGAGCCCCCGGTGGCGCAGTGGGTTAAACCCCTGTGCTGGTAGGACTGAAGACCGACAGGTCGCAGGTTCGAATCCGGGGAGAGGCGGATGAGCTCCCTCTATCAACTCCAGCTCCTCATGTGGGGACATGAGAGAAGCCTCCCACAAGGATGATAAAAACATGAAGTCATCCGGGCGTCTCCTAGGCAACGTCCTTGCAGACGGCCAGTTCTCTCACACCAGAAGCGACTTGCAGTTTCTCAAGTCACTCCTGACATGACAAAAAAGAAAGAAAAGAAACCCACGAGATCATCCGAAGGCAGTGTAAAGGGAGGTAGTGGGGATGGCACCAGGGGGTGAGGGTATCCAACACTATAAATATCAGTCTATATTAGATTTTCCCATCTATAGTACAGAGGCAAAGCTTAGGTCTTTTGACTCTCAATTATCGCCTGCTGGATTTTAATCGCAGCCATGCAGAACTTAGCAACGTTGTACATCACAGCTGAATTTGTGTCTGAGAACAGCAGGGCTACATAGAATTGTCCAGATCGTCCTGGGTATTTAATTGTCCATGGCGAGTATAAGGAATGATATTTTACTACACCACTGTATGTATTTGAGGATCCATGAATTTCTGTATCTACAGGGGGTCTGGATCAAATCCCAGCAGAAATTGAGGGTCCATTGTACTCAAAATGGCACAAAAGATGTGTCAATTTTTGGATTACAACTCTCACCAACTCCATCTAATGTTGCCACTGGTAAGGGATCATAGATATTGAATTCCCAAACAACAACACTCAAAGCACTATACCATGCTGGCTCCTGTGTGTCTGTATCTAGATAGAGAGATAGTCTAAATGCCATACACCTTTGGCAGGCCTGTCCTTTTTGTTGTTTTATTCTGTGATGTGTCATGTACATTGATCGCACTATATTTATTTATTTATTTACCACGCTTGTACCTCGCCCCTTCTCACCCTTAAGGGGACCAAGGGCAGCCTTACAAAGGCAACAATTTGTTGCCGCATATACATATACATCGATAAACAAATGCATTAAAATCCAAACCAATTAAAACATAAACATTAAACCACACATTCCAGGTCATATTCCAGGGTAGGTCAGAGTCATCATTATGTTATTTTATAGTCTCTTATTGCACCGCTCCCATTTACTGCCCAAAAGCTTGGTCCCAGAGCCATGTTTTTAGCTTTTTCCTGAAGGTCAGGGGGGGGGGGCGATCTAATTTCACTGGCGAGGGAGTTCCATAGATGAGGGGCCACCACTGAGAAGGCTGTCTTTCATCCCCACCAGTCATGCTTGTGAGGGGGGTGGTACCGAGAGCATGGCCTCCTCGGATGATCTTAGCTTCCAAGGTGGATCATAGAGGAAGATACGTTTGGGCAGGTAAGCTGCGCCAGAACCATTTAGGGCTTTATAGGCTAAAGCCAGTGCTTTGAATTGTGCTTGGTAGCAGACTGGCAGCCAGTGGAGCTGACGCAAATAAATGGATGATGATGGCAGTGTGATAATTTTGTTGACAATAATGCTTATGATTCATGGATGGTGAAGATCCAGTTCATGGACAAATTTTAAGTCACTCACCTGGTGGTAAAGACACCAATTTGTAGGCCATGTTTGCCAATGGAAGTACCGCCAACATGCAGTTATCACCATTGGTCTCTATAAAGTCATGTCTGGTAATTGCTGTTGGGTCAATGTGATGCTCTCTGAAAGGTCTAATAAAAGCCTGGAAATATGAACAACGCAGAAGTACAATTAGGTCAACCTTAATAGGCAAGTCCATGGAGCCTCCCAGTCCACTCACAAACAGGAAAAAAAATGTAATATGACAATAAATAAATACCAGACCAAGTGAGATGACTAGCTGGTTACAAACAGTTTATCATCACTAATAAATTGGAGAATATAGGTTATAAGTTGAGTTTGTACCCGAACTTGTGGAATTTTCCAATGTTAAAATGCCTTTCTCTAATACTGGGGTGGTGGTGGTGGGGGGAGTGCTTGTTGTGTGTGTGTGTGTGTGTGTGTGTGTGTGTGTGTGTGTGTGTGTGTGTGTGTGTATATATATATATATATATGTGTGTGTGTGTGTGTGTGCGCGCGCGCGTACGCACGTGCGCATGCACGCATAATGAATTATATTGCATTCATGTTTTATAACCATCTCCTACACGTAGTCTGAAGGTAAGTTTATGCAGTATATTAAATAATTTCTGTATGAAATGAAGTTTTTGTACACTGAACCAGCAGAAAGCAAAAAAGTCACTAATCCATGCATGTGGACAATTTTTAATTGTTTTGGATTTTAGAATTTAGGACATAAGATGTTCAACCTGTATATGCAAAATGTAGAAATTTAATTTTTTTGGATTAAAACTCCCAGAATCTCCCTGATAGAATGCCCACCTTGAATCCCAGGACTTCCTCTGGCTATATCGATTGGAGGATTCTGGGAAGTATAGTAAAAAAAAAAAAAGAATTTCTGCAAGATTTGGAGATATGGTGGTTCAAAGTTACCCATTGTGTTTTTTTAAAAGTGAGTTCTGAATATATGAACATAGAGGTTAGATATGAAGTATCACACCACTGTTTGCATCTATATCAGAAGGATCTCGGTGCAAGCAAATCACTAGGAGTTGAACTGATAGTGAAGTAGGAGTTCACCTAGTACCACCCCACATGCTATAATCTCAAAAGTCAGAAACAGGCCATGCCCCAAGGGACAGCCATTCAATATTTCCTGGCTTGTTCAATCTAGAACAAGATTAGCCTGGCACTACACGTCAGTTTTGCGCTAAGTACATCAAGCTTATTATAAGGGGATCATGGGAGGGGGCAGGGAAGGAGAGATCAAACGCAGTCTGTAATCTGATCAGCATTCACACTAGCCAGCATTAAGACGCTGAACTGTGATGGTGCGGTTAAGTTTTTTAGCACCAATCAGTAGCTCCTGGGAAAAGGCAAAAGGTGTACATGGTGGACGTCAGTGGTAACAATTGCTTCTTTTTATGGATACACAGAAAAGGCCCAAAATAGTTCTCATATTCTCTTGTGGTCTTTTATTAAAAGAATAAACACACAAATAAGAAGCTTTTAAAGAACCAATGAAGTGCAGCAAGCTGGATTTTTTTTTGTTTCACTTTTTAAAAAGCAGAAGCTCTAGTACAAGTTAAGCATTCCTTATTTGGAATTCCCAAAACTGAAAAAGTGGCAAGTTTGCTTTCCGGTGGTTTAGTATACACAATTCTGGTCCATGCACAAAATTATTAGGATTGTTTAAAAGTACCTTCAGCGTATATGAAAAATGCATTTCATGTTTAGACTTGGGTCCCATCTCCAAATTATCTCATTATGTACATATATGCAAAGGCAGGAGTTCAAAAATCTGGGGGAAAATCCAAAATCCTAGACACTTCTGGTTCCAAGCATTTCAGATAAAGGATACTCAACTTGTAACATCAATCTGGTCTGGATGACACATCCAGATGATAGCCAAAGATCAAGAACATGTCCAAAACTTGTGTCAATACTCTCTAAAAACATATATAAATCAGCTTCAAATATTTATAGAGGAAATGTTAAAAGCCTCTTTGATGAATTCAACTTTTAAAAATCTGTCTTATAATAGCAGTAAAATGTTTTTAAAAGGTCAAACCTTTCCAACAATTGGCAGGTCTACAGATCCCCATGTGTCCGCTCCCCAGTGCACCAGGCCGGAGAAGAAGTCCGCTGTAATGACTCCTGCAACTTTGAGACAAAGAAGAGAAAAATAATTGTTACTTTCAAAATCTCTGCAATACACACGTGCTCTTTTGAGTGAAATTCCTATATGTATAATTTAGAAATTTGAGTCAAAAATAAAATAAAATAAAATAAATGGATAGGAAGGAAACAGAGAAGAACTTTGTTAAGGAATGGGAACTATCTCTGAATTTTGCGGGGATAATAATAGTAAGTTTATTTGTACCCCGCCACCATCTCTCCAAAGTAACTTAGGACGGTTCACTGAAGTACTACGAAGTGCCGCACATAAAAAATACATAAGCATATAAAACAACAATATAAGTCTAAAAACAATGAACACACACAAAACCCTATCTGATAAAATTGTAAAATGTATAAATGCAGTAGAACCTGAATAAAAATGAGAACTCAGTGAAACAATCACTCAGTTCTCAGTCTGACTATAATTTACACAACGTCAAAGGCCAGTCTAAAAAGCCATGTTTTTAAACTAGCCCAAAAGGCTGGGAGAGTGAGGGCTAACCTAATCTTTCTAGGGAGGGTATTCCAGAGCCAGGGGGAGGCACCAATGAGAAGATAGTACTTAGACAGTGGTGGAACCGAGAGAAGAGCCTCCCTGGCAGATCTCAAAGCCTGCAACAGTTCATAGGAGGAGATACGATCTAGAAGATAGGTCTTTATAGGTGATAACCTGCACTTTGAATTGGATCCGGAGACATATTGGAAGCCAGTGGAGCTGTTTAAAAGGGGTGTGGTGTACTCCCTATAGCTAGCCCCAGTTAGTAATCTAGAAGAAGGAAAAGGGGTAAAGTTCTCCATAATTTGGCCTTTGTTTGTCAGAATTTTTGCCTGGAATTTTTAGATGATTATTCTTATGCTAGAGGAAAGAATGGGATAATAATGTTTCACTGGGAAGGAGGGACAAGTTGTATATGGTTGTCTTCAACCCAAAGGACAGGAGGTCAGTGCAATGGGATGGGTGGGAGGAGGGAATAGTATAATGGCAAATAATTGTTGTAAGCACTGTTCAGAAGTGTATGTGTTTATGTATACATATATGTGTAGATTTTGGGGGAGAGGGAGAGAGGGGAAGTAACCATACCAATGTACTGCATTTGATCTTGATCTAAAATGTAATCTCTGCAATACGATTGTGAAGATAAAACTTTTGAATCCCCCCAAAAACTGAGTGGATCTAGCCAATGGTCAATGTGACTACTTTAAATCTTATGAAAAAGGGAACAAACAAGTAGTGAAGCTTAGTCTGCCCCAGGAAAATCTAAGAGGAGCATCAACCTTCTCTACTCTCTTGGCAAGGCTGCTGGTTCTGGCCTTTTTGAATGAATGCCTGGGTGGGGAAATGGTGATAGAAGCCCATGAGCTAGCATTGGAATGACTTATCCGCAGGTCACATCTTTGAGCTTGGGAAGAACACTTTTTGGACTACAAATCCCAGAAGTCATGCTGATGGGTTCTGTGACTTGAAAATGAATAACCTTCCCAAACTCTGGGGTAATATGCAAAACCTGATATTCAACATCTAGGAAAACAGTATAAATGTTATTGAGCAAACTTATACACATATTTGTTCTTTCATAGGTATTTCAAAACCATACATCTCCTCTTATTTTTTAACATAGGCCCCATCGACACTGCCATATAATGCCATTTCATATTGCAGTTTAACTGCATTGAATAGCATTATATGGCAGTGTCGATGGGGCCTTAGAGCCGATAAGCACTCATATGTTCATCCAAAGGTTCAGAGTACATCCCCCTACACAGTCTTCTCATAGAATACTGTTTTCCTCCCATATTACACAAAAAGGGCTGAAGAGTGAAGGGGATGGACTAAGGCCACCAAGTAACCTAAAGCAGAAAGCAGGCTTGAAGTGGAAATGTGGAACCAACACAGTTCAGAAGTCTTAGCAACCAAGGGATATAAGCTTTTGCTGCCTTGCAACACCATTATAAATTCAGGAATGTGCCTATTCCAACCAAGGCAACCTGGTAGCAACTGTAAACATGTACTGTTTGTTTTGGGTACACTCGAGAACCAGAAAACCACTCAAACGCTGAACAATCTTCTTTCCCTAATTATGTCGGCCTGGTTTTAGCGTTGCTGGGTGTGACAGACTGCAACCAAGGGGACAAGAAATAACAAGAGTTCCATTCAATCAGATAATGAATATGGGGATTTAGATTTGACTAATAGGTGCGGTCAGCTGTACAACTCACTTTGCTGTCCAGGAAACAGTACTGTGTCGTTCTCCTTGAAGATACCTAAGAGTAATTGGATCTAAACATTTCTTGTCTCAGTCTGAAAGCTAACCAGGTTAAGGCCTGGTTAGTACTGGGAAGAAACACAGCTAAGGATTATCAGATGATAGAGGCTATATTCACAGAAAAACAATGGCAAGTCCCTCTGTATCAATATTAACAGGAAAATTCTATGCTAGGGTTGCCATTATCAAAACTGGCCTGAAGGAACATAACAACAGCAACAACAATTACAAAATCATAGAGTTAAAGCAGATCATAAGAGCTATCCAGTCTAACCCCATGCCATGCAAAATACACACACACACACACACACACACAGCCAAATGATCAAATAAAAGGCCTAACAACTTTATAAAAGGTGAATTTGGGCACCTGGAACCCTCAACATACCACTATAATCAAAAAAAGTAACTTTCCCAAGCTCCTTTTACTTATATACAGAGATTTCTGAAGCAAACTCACAAGAAAAGTCAAGCACAAAGCAACACAGAGTCCATCTTTGATTTCTTTGAGAAATCACTGTTGTTGTGCATGCCTTCAAGTCACTTCCAATTCATAACAGTTCTTAGGCCAAAAACCTATCATGGGACTTTCTTGGCAAGGTTTGCCTTCTTCTGAGACTGCAAACGTATGACTTGCCCAAGGTCACCCAGTGAGTTTCCGAGGCTGACAAAGGATTCAAACCTTGATCCCTAGAATTATAGTCCAACCCTATAACCATTGCACCACATTGTTCATTTCTAAACTCTTGGAGGATTCAGTGTACAGGTTGTTAAAAGCTATCATGCATTTTTTAAAAACCCTCTCAGGCCTATATTTAACTGAATTCTACTGTATCCCATATTTTTACTGTTGTTGTTGTAAAGACAAGTGGAGAAATACAAATCTTGATAGTCATTCTGTGCTATCCCATATTGCTGTGTTTGCGTTCCAGCCATGAATCTCTCCAGTCTGTTGCAACACAGATGCTTTGCTTTCAATACACCTTGCTGAGTATTCATTCATTTAGAGCATTTATACTCTGCCCTTGAGCCAAGAAGGCTCCCACAAGGGCTTACAAATTGTCAATGTGACAGCTCCCTGCCTGAGGCTTACAATTTAAGAGTCATGAAAACACAAGGAAAAGGGGACAACTGAGGGAAAGGGAATTCAGTCCAGCAAGTGCTGGCTGATTTTCTCTCCCTGGGAGGCCAGGGAGGTGGTACTTGGTATGGAGGGAGTGCCTTTCTGCAGCTGCTGGACAAGTTTTGCTGGGAGAATAATGGCCAGAGGAATCAATGGGTCAAAGGAAACGTCTGATCTCAAGATAGGAAGGTCTCAGGATCCCTCCACAAAGGTGTTGCAATACAAAGGTTAAACAAACACATTGGAAAGGGAGATGCGCCAAGACTATGAAGTTGTAGTCAGAAGCAATTTTGAGTCGAGCCCAAGTTGGTTGAAATCAGCTGACTCTGACTCTAGCTCCAAAATAAAAAGTATAATATTACAGTAGGCTTGTTTAATATGTGAAGTCACTGAACACAGTTTCATTTATATGCAAATAGTTTGTAAATACCATAGAATCGCTCTGGATTGTGTGTGTGTGTGTGTGGTTTTGCGCATGCGTTGTAATATATTTGGGGGGGGGGGATGAGTGATGGTCACTTGTTGGCCTGATAGGTGTATTGTGTCCAAATTTGGTGTCAATTCATACAGTACTTTTTGAGTTATGCTAATCCCACAAACGAACATTACATTTTTATTTATATAGATTGTTGGCATTGAATGCTTGCCACTGTGTATTTTGTTGTTAGCCACCCTGAGTCCCCTTGGGGAAATAGGGTGGGCTATAAATATCACTTCATTCATTCATTCATTCATTCATTCATTCACTCATTCATAACAATGCCCAGAAAACCGTTCTTTCTGGGATCCCAGCATGATTCTGTGGTGAACTTCCACGAGAGCTTCCAATTGAAATTGACCATAGAATTGCATGGGAGGCTCAGGGAGAACACTTCTCTAGGCATTTTCTAGGTACTCCAAAATGATTCTATACTATGCTTTGATCAGAAACCAAAGCCTTCATTCATTCCAGGTAAGAAAATCAGGGTTCCAGATTATAATCATAGGGCCCCAGAATGATTATCTCATGTACTCAAGCCTACTGTATAATATATGCACTACATACCATTGGTATTAATTTAATATGTATTTAGATTTAAGGTATACATTATGTTTCATAAAATCTTTTAAACATTCATTGAATGCATATTTTGTTACATCCATTTAATATGCATGCTTTGTTGTTTACATAGATTTCTTGTTAATAGACTGTCATCAAATAACTATATTTCCTAAAGTCTGATGTTTTATGTAGTGATGATGGAATTTCTAGTACCAAAGTAAATGTGTTATTCCAATGAACTAGCATTTGTCATTTGTAAAGGAGTTAAAAGTTGGAGAGCCAAAAAAGAAATCAAAGCCAGAGATTTGGCATACTGACACCATAGCCCTGGTTACAACAGTTCCATGAAACAATGCACACATTACAAATAGACACTAAAGAGCACCCCTCCATAAGAGGCAGCGGATCTGTGCCATATGTGTGAAAGGCTAACCTGCAGATTGAAACTGTCTAGGGTGAGGAAAAAAGCAGGGTTTCATTTAGGACAACTGTTTCCCATTAAGGAATCTGAGGAAGCAGAAGGAAAGTCATGGAGCATGCTAAAATGTTGCTG